TTATATTATATAATTTTTGCACCGTTATTTCTGAGTTTAATTTCATATGATTTTTAACTTTTAACTTTTCTGCAAAATACAGTACTATTATAAAATATAAAATATGAACCTGGGCTTAAGGCCTATCTACTTATTGACTATATTGTCCCTTGTTAGTAAAAAGAACGAATAATTTACTGACTTTAATTTTTAAACACAATTTTAATGCAAATAATGATTGTATGTAAATTTTTTTTTAACTAACTTATTTAAAAGTATATTAACACATCTAGCACATTTTTGACCTATTTTCTACCAAATTAATTGATCATTTGAGAAATGTGTATTTTATAATGCACGTCACTCAATACTCATATAAGTTATACGCATAGCACATTTTGAACATCATAAGGAAAATGTTCTTTGTTCTTGAATTCAGTGGCGTGTTGACCGTGATTATGAAGCGCAGTTGCCCGATAATTTTAAATAGGTGGGTTCAGAGTTGGTGGGTGAGTACTGGATGTAGAAATTGTAATACAAGACTAACTTCATCAACTGCAATAATAATAGTATACTAAGAAAAGTTATCTATTATCTTATATCATATTATGCTACAACACTGTAAATAACAACATCGAATACGGTTAGGGTTTCTTAAAGAACTATCAATTTAGTTGATATTTTGGTAGTATTGTTCTTAAGTTAATATTAAATAAGTGAGATAGTAACTATTAGCACCTAGAATATGAAGATAATTTTTAGATTAAGAATTCTAAACAATATTATGTTACGTTATACTCGTAGCATTATACTCTTAAGTATGTTTGTTGGTATATATATATATATTTTTTTAGGGGTTAATCTTTTAAGGATAAAACTAGTATAATTTGTGTGAATATTTCTCACACATGCACTCAAGTTGAAAACTAAACAGCAATCATCAATCTATTATTAAGTAATTAGTGCAGTTAAAAGTAACTACATTATTGTATCTTATGTTTTTGTAGTTGTAATGGRCATTAGAGGAACTTTTTGGGTTTTTGCAATCAGACATCAGTAATCAAAGTTATAATATTTGTGTCTATCGTCTATGGATTTACGAAATAACATCACACATTTTACAATGTTTACATAATTTATAATTGAAAATTATATACTTTATTATTACTATACT